AAATGATTCTATGATTCTATGAACTTCAGGTATGTGGTGGTTTCAGGCCACAAATGTGGCCAACGTCACAAATGTGAGGCCAACTACAACGCACTTAAGCAAATGCTAACACACAAATGCTAGCCAGCCAGATCATAGTTGGACACTTTAGGACTATGAAATAAATTCTTCCACAAAGAAAATGACAAGCATGCAGCGTATGGAACTGAGGTCCAGAACTCTGCTGCCCTCATCAGAGCCAACACTTGTGCTGAAGATGAATATCCCTTAATTATCAATATGAACATAATGTGTTTACATGATAATTGTATTCTTGTCACTGGCATAGCAAAGACACGCTCCCATCTGTTGAAGATATTTTACCTTATCCTGCAGAGACAGAATGCAGGTGTGAAATTCTTGTTGTCTCATAGGCGTGCATGTTCCTTGTACACTATTTCACACTATGGGAAAGCTGGTAACCTTTTTCTTCTGAGATTGCTTTGACATTCATCATATTGGGTAACCTACACAGCACTTGAGTTTGGGGGATATCAGTCCTGCTGGTGCCTGAAACTTCAGTGGAAAATAATCCCAAATTCTTCTTTTGTACTTAGTGAATAAGGTTCACATGCTCCTTGCTGGACATATTAAATGGAATATAGCTCACACTAAATTGGAGTGACAAAAAAAAGGCACAGCCTATCAGTGGTGGATGTTTCCAAGTATTTGACTACAGGCTGATTCAGGTTTTGGAAAAATCCTTGGCCTTGAAACATTTTCTGTGGTTCCTTCTGTCACTCTGTAAAACTAGTTCCATTTGCTAATAGTAACTTGCTGCCTTGGAGTGATGCCACCACGACTCAATAAAATGACTAAGTTTAGTTAACGGGCATGTAAAACGTTAGACACTGTCGTCATGAACTAGACTTATGCCCTATCTTACATGAATATGAACCAATCTAAATTCCTAAAAGTTAGTGTTCAGTACTAGTAAGGACATCAGGATCTGATGATCATATGGTTATTTGTAGCCTCCAGTGCTACCATCCTATTGCTCTGCTTGTCTTTGGGAGGCCAAGGCCTTGGTCCCTCTATGTAGGAACTAGGAGTTCTACCATTAACTTCAGTGCGATCAAGAGAACTCCTGTATTGCAAATAGTAAAGCAATATGCAACTATGGTAAGATACTTGTGTAAAAGTAATTGGATCAGGATGAGCTGCATTCTCCTTTCCTGAGGGAGTTACGTGTAGTATCTTCACTGGAATAGGAGACAGATACAACCTGATTGAATCATTAAATGGAAATATATGACAATGAACGTTAGCCACTTAGCTCATTTCATAAATTCTAATAATTAAAACTTCATGTGCAATAATAATGGCTATTCCAGATATCTAAGTAAGAAAAATGCGCCTTTGATATGCTATGGCATAGTCATACTGAAAACACTGAGTTAATGGAGGATCTGTGTAATAAGTTACCATACAGAACCTGCAGTTAGAAATATATAAACATGTTTCCCCACAGAATTTCACTACGTCACAATTCATTAGAGAAAATAGGCAATAACTGACAAGATAGGCACAAAATGGATTTTCATGTTGCTATGATGAAGTATAGCTCCCAGCAATTAATGGTTTTAGTCATATTAAGCAGATAAATAATGCTATCTGACATTACAGTATTTCATATTACACTAAAATTTTCTAACATTTGCTCATAATGTGACTTGAAATACGTTACCTAGGAAAAAAAATGTTCTCTCTGAAACAGTCAAACCTCATTAGAAACCTTAGGCTTGAAAAATCAGAATGTTAACAGTTATATCCCCTAGCAAAGGTTTGCGTTCCTTAAATAGTGTTAAATTTAAACCCAGAAGCTCTAGTCTCTTTTGGAGTTACTCTTTCTTAGTGCATTGAGCTTGAAAGGAAAATTTAGTGCACAAAATGTACTGTGCATTACTGAATGCTGGTAAGTGAAACACTACTAAGAGCTGCAGAAAGAAGAGGGTAGCCTTTAGAAAGAAACAGGATCTGTGATACCTTCTCTAAAACCATGCTTCTATATTCTGCTCTATAAAAAGCTAATCTTCATAAGACCCCCTTATGCATTATTGATAAAGAATTTTATTAGTTTAAACCTCTTTCTAAAACTGGCATGTTTACCTTTTTAATAGCTGGGTACAGTCTACCTGGGTACCAAGTTTTGTAAAAAATTATTTATTGTAAAATACTGTGGATCTATATTTCCAGTTCTAGCTTGCATGAGTAACTCATGATTTCAGCATTCTTAGTCATGTAAGTATAGATTTATATGTGTTCTAAGCATTAGTAAGAATCAAGAACAAACACAAGAATATGATTTCTCTCTCCTGTCATGCTAGTTCTATTCCAAAATTGGTGAGTAACGTGGAAGAAAATGTGATTCTGGTTAAAGATCAGATGCGGTTTCTTGTGGGACAGTATGCAGTGGATTTAGAAGTGTCATGTTTTGCTGAAGGCAATGATGCTTAGTGTCTCAGAACCCAACTCCAGCTGATTTTCAGCAAGAGTTAGCAAACAACCTTCCCTTGGGTTTCAGTGGAAATCCTTGGCTTTGTATCCAGCCTGAACTGCAGTTTCACTTGCACGAAACAAGCTTTTTTTGAGGTCTTCTAAGGTGCTGTTTCCTGAAACAGCAGAAGATAATCTGAGAGCTAAGAACTGCAATTCTGTTACTAAAATATAAAAAAGTTTATTTTTCAATTTTAGTATGAAAGGACTACTAAAAAGAATTCTCATGATTTTAGGATTACTGGTTACAATAAACCTTTCCAAATCCAAGTCATAAACAAAACAGGTAATGTTTCACATGTGCCAAAACACAATTTTATTGCTTCTCAGGTAACACTGCATTTAGGCATTTATTTAACTTGAGGGTTCTGGAAAAGCAGAAACAGTCCACTTACGTCTTACGACATTTGTCCTCTTGCATGTTAGTGGAAGAGGTAGAGAATTTTCATAGACACTGTTGGCAATATCATGAGAAATGCACACCAAAAGCTTACTAATTATGCTTGCAATAACATGTAATCTCTGCCAGACTCTGGTATCTAGATTTAAGTATCATCAGTTGGAGAATGTAAATACTTTCACCACAGTTCTTATATGACCTTATAAAAAAGACACTATAGAGGTCACAGTTCTGCATTGTCTCATTATGATTTTCACAAATCCGTTAAATTGCTGAAGTATATCCCAACCTGGGAGTCTCAGAGCTCCTCTCTGTGTGATCACTAGTGTGTGATGCTGTACACCAACCCTCCAAGGAACATCCAAGTAAACGCCATTGTGGAGTTCCAGTTCTCCTAGTATTAGTGTTCAGAACAAACTCCACCAACAGTAATAGCAACTAGGTATATTGGACTTATTTCTAGCTTTTTCTTTTTTGAAGGAGTTGGTGCTGTATGTCCAGCTGCTGTTTGTGGATGAGCACCCAGTGGTGCAGGAGCTGCCAATGACCCAGTGCTTTCGGAACTACTGGTTTTAAAGGCTCGGTTTGTGCTTTCACATAATCTCCCTATCCTAGTCTGTGTTAGTGTTATTGCACCTTCCAAGTATCAAAAACAAGTATTGGTTTTATTGTGCTTATTTTAAAACCAGTACATTTAAGAACAACCGAATATATGTGTGGTATATAAAAAATATACATGTAACAGCTCACATTATACAGTAAAAAAGAAAGCACCTGTGTGGAAAGCTTACCCCCTTCTTTGGAAGGAAAGCTTCAGTAACATATTTGTGTGTATATACGTACAAAACCAGAACTTTAGCCACATAAATCTGTCCTCTTCTGTGGCAGAGAAGACAGAAGGCCCAAAGGGGTGATATGTCTCATTCTTTCTCCATCACAGAACTGCTGCCATTCACACTGTGTGAATAAGACTATGGCTTGGATAAAGTGCAAGAAGCGTGAGACAAATTATGCTCCATGTGGCAAAATTCCTCCCAGGAAAGAGCTTAACCAACAGCCCCCAAACAATTGTACGTTACTCTGCTGTCAGAGGGAGCAGCTGTCAGGAGGAACTCTGCAACCCTCGCTGAGGAACGCCGGCACAGGGCGCTGTGCCACACGGGCAGCCTCTGCACTGTGATGGGGCTGGAGAGAAGGGGCAGCTGCAGATGTTGCACTTGCCAACCTTGAACCAGAGGGCTGCTGGCTACCTTCTGCAGCACCTCTGTCCCACGCAGGAGAAAAAGTGTGGAGAAAAAGGTTGTGGATCTTGTTGTGTCAAACCTTTTCTCTGGATAGGAGGGTTGATGTATAACTCTGAATTGTTATATGCTATTAAAAAAGACAACTAAATAACTTAAGTCTGTTTAAAAATTAGTTTTCTTTCTAATCCTAGGTACAGTTTACTATAGTAAAAGTGGGTATTTGAAGAAAATATTTCGCTATTAAAGATTCTTGCAATTATGTTTTCAGAAGTGCCTTTTCCAGGTTAGGCTCTAATCTATTAAGAAAAGTTACCTTTTAATTTTTTCCACAATAAAACTCTATTAGATACTGTACTTAAGCACGTGAAAAGAGTAAAAAGCTATTTCTGTGCAGTTTCTGAGGTAATAAGCTGGCATGTTAAAAACATATTAATGAAAGTCACTTGTTTGTGAGTGTGTCCCTTGCCCATCTTCCCTAAAGAGAGAGGATGGACACGGTGACCTCAGTAAAGCAGAGGAAAGGTCAGTGTCATACTGGTTGGTATGCCGTATCATAGCTCATCATGGTTTCTTGTGAGGTCCTCCCCATAATTAGTAGCTTGACTTCCTACGAACATATTCCAGTTGTCTAGAACCTCCTCTTTCGTTAGTTTTTGATCCTGGTGGGAGGAAAATCAAATATCGGTAAGAACATATTCAAATTTAAGTAAGAGACACACCATCAAAAATTTACAAGAGCCCTGGGAAATAGTTCTTCATCATTGTCGCTGTTAGGGTGAATGAAACTCAGACCCCAGTGGAAGACAGAAATCCCACTGGCTTCAGTCAGACCAAATCAAGTTTTAACTGAAAGTTCTTTGTTATTAACTTACTGCCAAACAGTATATGTGTTCTTTGGTACACATTTTTGCTGTGTGGTTTGTTTTTGCCTTCCTGACAGAAAAAAATGAAAAGCCATTGGTGCACTTTTTTGAAGATGGTTCCTTATGTTATCAATTTACACTCTCTCTGTGTAAGAGTGTTTTGGCTTTTTAGGTTCCAACTTTGCTCACGTTACACTTCTGAAGACCACTATCTGGGATCTACTGAACCATTAATCTCCCAGGTTAGAGGAACTGGATGTGTTGAGCCAGTTAAGTCAAAGATGTGTGTTTGATTACACAAAGGTGGGGCTTTTTGCTGCCTCCTATGTAACTTATTTTTTATTTTTCTACTGCAGTCTAAATTAGCACACAAAAGTCACAACCACTCTTAAAAGGAAAAAGACTATTTCAACCATGTTTAAAACTTCCAGGTTTAAAATGAAAAATAATTTCTTATCTAACCTAATGAGAGCCAAGAGAACTTCTAGAGCTTATAAACTATTTTGCTACTTTGTGATTCTAACCCCACCAACTTAAAATGGCATTGATAAATTAATGCACTAGCAACTGTAGCCTCTGAAACTCCATTTAAAGTGTACTAATAAGAAGAATTATCAGGAATAACTTCTTGTAAGCTGATATGTGTAAAAAAACACTGGTCACATAACTTCTTTAAAAAGTATACTAGAACACTACCTTGTCTATGTCCGACTCGTAGACTAAGTGCCTGGCTTCAGCTAGTGCATGATCGTAGTCTTGTGGGAGAATCCAGTGCTGAATCTCCTCTTTGTCCATCTTTCCATCCTTGTTGAGGTCACGAAAATCTGAAAACTGTTCACGCTCTGTAACCACCCAGTCAGGCTCTGGTCCACCCTCTTCATTTGCAAACATATCCGCTGGATAGGAAATAAAGGGGTCGCTTCACTGGATTTGCAAATTATGCACCAGCTAAAGACATTTGCAGTGTTCCTCAGAGGAAGACTAAACTTCACTCTTTGCAGTTGCATTTTCTTTGTACAGAGAACAAAATGTGGGGTGTAAATAGAGTACCTGTGTCTATCTTCTCAAGCCTATTTCTTCACTGCTGATGATTCTGTCCATTCTTACACTACCCTTGTATCCTAACCTGTGCACTGCTGGTGAGTCTAACAGGAGAGGTGAACGTGTCCAAAGGCCATCAATCCAGCGAGTTTCAGAACAAAACAAATTCTTTAAGGATCTTTAGCACTACCGCTTATGACGGCTACTTAACTAGGCACAGCCATCTGGGGACACTGCGATTTTACCTTGTCTCCACCAGCAAATGTCTTTGTGGATGAGATTAGATTCCAGGCAGCAGAAATTAGGTAATGGGGAAAAAAGGCACAGGGAAAATTTAGGAAAATAATAGTTGCTTGTCCATGGGACAGCAGTGTGCCCTTTTGGCCAGGAGGGCCAATAGTATCCTGGGGTGCATTAAGAAAAGTGTGTCCAGCAGAACAAGGGAGGGCCTCCTCACCTTCTGCTCTGCCCTGGTGAGACCTCACCTGGAGTATTGTGTCCAGTTCTGGGCTCCCCATTTCAAGAGGGACAGATCTACTTGAGAGAGTCCAGCGAAGGCCTACAAAGATGATTGGGGGTCTGGATCACCTGCCTTATGAGGAGAGGCTGAGAGACCTGGGGCTTTTTAGTCTGGAGAAGAGAGGACTTAGGGGGATCTAATTAATGTGTATAAATATATGAGGGCTGGGTGTCAGGAAGGAAGGGGCAACCTCTTCTCACTTATGCCCTGCGACAGGACACGGGAGAATGGTCACAAGCTGGAGCACAGTAAGTTCCACCTCAACATGAGGAAGAACTTCTTTAGTGTACAGGTTACAGAGCACTGCAACAGGCTCCCCAGGGAGGCTGTGGAGTCTCCTTCCTTGGAGACTTTTAGGACCCATCTGGATGTGTTCCTGTGTGACCTGCCCTAGACTAGATGGTCCTGCTTTGGCAGGTGTGTTGGACTCGATGATCTCTGGAGGTCCCTTCCAAACCCTAACATTCTGTGATTCTGTGAAAACTTGAATGCTTTTGTCCTGCTTGTAGAAAGATCTGTGTAAGAGAAATCTGTCTTAGTAAATGAATCCTTTTTTTTAAGCATGCAGTGCTGCAGCATACCACAGTAGAAGGTATTCTTCTACAAAGACAGACTTGGAGAAGTCATGAGTCAGTGGTGCATTTTGTATGAGAAGCCACAGACATTGCACTTATCATGAACTGGTACCTTGGGATGGACCACTTATGACATAGAATGCATTGATTACATACATGAGCTGCTCTGTCCTGTGCTATAACTAAGAAGCATCAGTAGGAAAATGCCACAGTGGCAGCAGCTATCTGTATAAACAGAGCTGGGAGAATAGCAGTGATTGTTAGAGCAGGTGATTTGTAACTGTTCTTTACAGCACAGACCTTCCAAATCATGAGTAGCATTGTCCACTTTATTCTTCTGGTCACTGTGACTACTCACCTGTCTCCTGCTCAGTAGGGCCACTTATTCCTCAAGTCTTCCAATTTTCTATCTATAATTAAAGTCTGCTTTGTGATACTACTCCTGTGCCTTTTGGGTTTGGCTTTCAAGGGTGTGCTAAGGAAAAGTGCATCCCACATGGATGGTCTCAGGGCCAGGGGCTATCTGATATCTACAGAAAGCATAAATACTGGTCTCAAATCCAGGAATATCCACTCCTAACCGTGCAGTGTAGGTGTATAGACTAGGCTGAAGTTCTCTATTGGAAGAGCTGTCCACAGTGTCCCTGAAATACTCTGTTACCTGCTCATGCACAGTTAAGAATTTAGTTCTCTCTACTTTGACATGACTAGGGACATATTGCTTTGCTGCTTGTGTAAAATCTAAACAAAATTTTGTAAAAGACAAAATAAGGAGTAGGAGGAGGGAGGTATCGTTCTATAACCTTCAGCAGATTTCCCTATCAAGTAGCTGATGTGCAGACTGAAATTTTGGACTTCTTTCTGTCACTCCTTATAAATTACCAAAGAAGAGATTTGGTTTTCTGTTTGTTCCTTAACCCCATTTCATCAAAAATAAAAAATATTACATCCGAGAAAGGGCAACAGGCGTATTTTAAGAATAGTTTTCCTCAACTTATGAAGAAAACTTCAGACAACACATTCACTTTCTTTTTTCATTTTTCAAAGTGCTAATTATATTGTTTATTTGAAGAAACTGACATGTCCTGTCAATTTGATTTTTATCTTCCTCACCAATGCGGGGTGATCGTGACTAGAACATTCTATGTTCCTATCTATAGAAGACAAGAAAAAACAGCATTCACATGGTAACAAATGTTGACAATTACCTTATAATTATATGTAGGTAATGTCACTGAATGAACAGAAATTACTGTGGAAATTATGCTGCTCTGTTATTTCAGTCATAAATGAATAGCATTCACATTCTGAGGCTAAATATAATTTACAAGGAATAGAACCCCCCAGTCATTAATTAACGTGTGTATATTGTTCCTATTACACGTGAAGTGATCTTTATAGCACCACTACAAACAGAAAGACCCATCCGAGTTTGCATTAATGCTTTCCTGGTGCTACTTTACTGATTTAAAACCCATCAAAGTGAGTGCAGTGAGAGAAGGGAGCTTTTGGTATCAGTGTAATGATTCTAAAGGCTAAAATGTATTATGTACTGCTGATCTCCAGTTCTGTTTCCATTTTGGTTTCATAGGTCTAAATGCAAGATGGCAGCTAACTGCTTAGTGTGACTCAAGTTTGTGCACATTAACTGTGACTGATCTGCTGTTGATGTTTCCCATTTTCTTCTCATTCTGCCACTGAAGGAATGCACAGCTAACTCTCATGCACTTCACAACTTCTTCAAGAATCTTAGATCTGTTTCTACACTTCCCAGCTATTTTGTATAGTCAAGTACCATTCAATCTTGGGAAGAGGCATATTCACTTTCTGATGCTCTTGCATTTCTGAACAATGCCATCAAAAGATGGTAATGTGATCAAGTATACAGAGAATATTTCTGTCATGAAAAATATTATTTTGGACCCTCTTAGCCAAATTACACGAGGAGAATCTGATGCTGTAAGGTGTGTGAGGAACTTTTTGCTGGTGATATTGCTACCTGCCTAAAATGAATTAAAACTTTCTGGGTTGGATCACAGAATCACAGAATTGCTGTGGTTGGAAAGGTCCAACCATGGATGGCTGGTTTAAAACAGCTGAACTGGAGTAGAGAAATGTTCCATCTTTGGGTTGTTAATATTGCTGCAAATTTGAGAGAAGATGGACAAATGGACTGCAGATTGTCAGAAACAGATCTCAACACTTACCAATGTACTCATCTTGATCCACAAAACCATCCCCATTTTTGTCTATGTCTTCTAAGGTTTCCTGGAAAATAATTTTGCATTGAAGTAATCTTTAGAAGTGAGAATTCTTCGCTCGTTTAACATTTTGAGGCCTTGACCTGCTCTTGTAAACAGGCAAATGTACTCTCACTGACTCCAGCGTGACTGGTGTCTATATAATGAAAACCAAATATCCTTTCATGTTGAAAAAATTCCCTGCAAGAATGAACTGGACACCATGCTTAAGTTTTATGTTAGGGGCAGATACAAGCCCCTAAGTGCCTTAGTGTAAATCTGTGCCCCAAGACCATTTCTTGACTCCATTTAGGATCTATGTGCATGCAAAAAATCTTTCTTATACTGAGAGCTCCAAGTCAAGCGAATTTCCTGAAAAGCATCCTGTTCTGTTCTCCACTTAGTTACTATGTGTGTCTCTCTCTCTAAACCCCACATGGAAAGGTGACAGAAGCACTTCAAAGCTCATCCAAAAAATAAAAGTAAAAATAGGGTCATTGGTTTTGCTCTGCTTACTAAGACAACGATGTTTTTCATATGCTCAAACTCCTCTGGGTGCAGGAAAGCAGTGAACTCTTCATGAGTGGCAGCTAAATCACCATCTAGATCTGCAGTTTTGAACCGTCTCTCATCTCTGGGCAGCATTTTCTTAAAGCTGTGCTGATCGGTTGCATCTTGGAATTCTTCTGGGTTTGCTGCAAATTAATCAAGATGATCTCAAAAGTATGTTCTTTGTAAAACACACTACCACAATGAAGCACCCCAATTTTGCTGTTAAGAGTCTAGAATTACAAAGGCTTGTTGCTAGAAGAGCTGCTGTGTTAACATGGAACTTCTCTTCCCTGTGAAGTTCTAAAGTCAGGGGTCAACTACTTGGTCTGATTTTTAAAGGTGTCTTAGTAGTATAGGTAAGTGCCCAACTAAGCCTTCTGTTGCAATCCAGGATAATGGATTTTGCAGTACTATATATTATCCTTCAGAGATTTTTTGTTTGTTTTAATCTACTTTTACAAGCACTGCTTAGGCCTTCCATGGGGCAGATATCATTCAAAGAAGTTTTATTCTTCTCTGAAGTCAGTTTGATCTACACAACTTTTCAGTTTCAAAAAGCAAGCAAACCAAAGAATATTGGTTTCAGAAGATAGCAGACCAAAATTATCTGACTGCAACACCCCTACTACAAGGAATGTAGTAATTATTTTCAGTTTAAAACAATTACATTTTTTCAGGTTGTTCAGTGGTATAAAACTAATTATATTTGATACTTTTTTAAAAAGATAGGCTCACTAAATTGTCTTCAAACATGAAAAAAGCAAACACAGTTGAAAAAGCCTAGGCCAGGAATCATAAACGTCAATCTTAAGCATGCATTAACACAAAACCACAATGTAGTAGCTGTTCTCCAGACCCTGGGGATTACAGAGAGCAAGGACTCTGTAGCAAGCAAAAGCAAAGCGAAGGCTGAGAAGAGCTCCCAGGGATACTGCTGCAGGGACTGTGTGTCCGATATTTCCTTCCACAAATGTAATAAGCTCCATTTTAATTCAAGTTAGATGTTGGAACTATTACTGCTGCTGGAAGCTTGCTCCAGAAACTGCCTCTTATGGGAAGTAGATATTGTCTTCTCATTTCCAGTAAGTATAAATATTCAATTAATACTGATTTGTTGTTGTGACAGCATTGCCCTTTAGCTTAAATGATTGCTTTTCATTCTTTCTCTTCATTAACTTATATAAAGTAAAGCCAATGTACGTGGGGGAGTAGGGAAAAGTCAGGTATATGTTTTTAATGTGTTTCTTTTGCCTGGTTTGTTAAGGATTTTCATTTGCAGTTGACCACAGTCTGAAACATGCTATTCTGCAAGAACTATTTTAATCAATAACTTTACAATAGGTTAGACCCAGCCTAAGATTTTAGTATCTAGACTCTGGAAGATTTTAGAGAGACTGTGTTAAGAAATACTGGTTAACATTGTTTTTTTTTTTTTTATTAAAGTATCATTTTTAATGTTAAAAAAATATTTCTAACTAGAGGGGACTTTAATTCAGCTTTGTTTGTTTAATTAATACATTTATTGTTTAAATACATTTAATAATCCGTTCTACAAAACTTTTTGTGTGCTGGTGACCCACGTGGAAATGGTTGCAATAAACAAGCAAGAAGTGCTCTTGATGTCCAAGCATCTATAAAATTCGATGCGATTTTCAAGAGTCCTAAATGTGACACCAAACTCCTGTTGACTATTAGGTATGAAATCATGCCTTATCTCAATAATCTTTGCGTATACAATCTGAAAATATTATCTTACCTAGATAATAACCATATGTGGCTTGTTTGTATTCTTCCCAGGCAATTTTATTGTCCTTGTTTAGATCATAATCTTTCCAAACTTTAGCCATGTTTTCATAGATATAGCGCTTCTGTACCCGTTTAATCCAGGTTTTTAATTCCTCTGTTGTGAGATAGCCATCCTTGTCGTCATCTATTCTATCCACAATCTTCCTGTAAAAAGAGACCAGCAACCTTAACAGTTGACCATCTAGGTTCTCTGCAGTAAGTCTCTCAAGGGATGCCTGTAATTGCTAAAGGCCACAACTTTGGGTTTGAGCGTGTAAAACCGGCTTCTGTCCCAGCTACAATGGTAGACGAGATGATAACAAAACTGTCTGACATAAGAATGCAGCTATAGTCCCACAACGTGTAGGTAAACTTGTCACAGCCTTGTTACACTCTGGGCACAGGCCTGTGGGAAACTATGTACCCTGCTCTTGGAACCAGGGCAGTTCCAGCACTGTCTCCTCTGCGCGTCCAGAGTGGCTTTAGGCACATCATCAGTTTTAACCCTCCTACCACTGCTCATGAGGTGCAGGAACAAACTATCTGTAGCACTGCACCTAGCTCAGTAACCATCCAGTGGCTAACTCCAGGTCATCAGGATGACCATTCCCTACCAGGCTAAATCACCATGTCTATGGACTAGTTATATGTCATTTCTAAGAAGGGGTTAAGAACAGGAGCTGACTTGTCTAAATTCTGACTTGAGATTCAACAGGCAAGCTCACTACACCTCCAAGCAGCTAGAGGACACAAGGAGAAGTTCTGCACTTTTAAATACTCTTTTCATTTCAACATCTTGTTTCTCCACAAAGAAACCAACCAACTGGAACTTCTCAGCTGGTGAAGCAATGTGTTTTCCCAAGCTGTAGCTGACAAAGTGGTTGAGTCAAATAACAGAAGCTGCTTTGGCTAAATTTCCAGCAATCTTCTGTATTAAGACTGAATTTATAAACAAATTATATTTCTGAGCTGTGGGGTGGGGGGGAAAAGGGGCTGATGAAGTTGCTTTCTTAAGTAGTAAAGTGTGAATTAACTGACCAGAAAACCTTTTCTCTTTTGTATAAATCACAGGGGGAATTGACTGCAAAGGGTCACTTTCACTGTACAATGGACTGTATTTGTCCATAGATTTGCCCCACAATTAATTAGATTTAATCAGTTTAGCTGATATTTCTATTGTTAAATGTATTAGTTATAATAAAGTACTCTGCTAGTAGCTCTTTGGTATTCTTAACATGAAAGACGTAAAGACTGTTTACCAGAATGTTTCATGCCTCTTGCTTTTCACCTGTTTTCATAGGTCCATTGCCATCTGTGTGCACTACTTCACTCTGCTTCCCAGCTGAAAATGAGGACAAAGAAAGTCCTGTCCAGAGGCTCCCAAAGGTACAGGTAGGACACCACTGTATGGACTGTGGACCTCACTTGTTATACTGATAATTACCTGTAAAATGGCTCGGGATCATTCTAAGTTTTGTAGCAGAGCTAATGTACATTTATCAATCTGAAAAGCCTCAGTGCCTTTATTTTAAACAGTTAATTCCCGAATACACCAAAAATTCAAGAAGTGTGTTAACAGACACAAACTGCCAGCTTATACGCAGGAATTCACACGCACAAGTGTGTAAGCCCTGAACGCTCACTTTCTCCCTTTAGCAGAGGTGGGATTGCAGTCAGTGTTAGTCTCCCACCGTGTAATAAGCTAGAGGGCACATGCCACAGATACATGCAACCTGCTGCTACTGAGATTGAGCTGCTAGTCTGCAAAGACTGGTGATGAAAGTTGGGGCAAGGAAATCATTGCTACAAAGTGTCTCAAAAAGGAAGGCTTCCCCTTTGCACCCAATATAAATGCAACTCTGTGTTGATAAACTCTGGCCTTGGCCTGTACAAAACCCACAAACATTTTTATTGTGAGGATCTGTAAACATCTTCTGTGTTCTCTGAAAATGACAGGCCCACCATAAATGGCAGAGAGAAGGTTCAGAGGACTGCAGCCTCTGCCTCCAATCCCTCAATGCAATCCTTGGCTGTTGCACCAGGATTAGGTCATACTTCTCCAGAGTCAAGCAAGTTGTGGTACTGTGCATGAGTGAGCAACGTCTGATTCTTCCCTTGTCAGGTGATCCACTAGGGGAGGACAGGAAGAAGAGATGCCCCTGTCATGCAATCTGTCCTTAGTGCAGGTGCACTCCCAGGTCACAATATGATTAAGGGCTTGCAGGTGCCACGATTGCAGACCAAGAACACAACACGCGGCTGCTCCTCTGCTGAGGCTGTAGACAGCTGAGTTTGCAGGGCCTTTTCTGTGGACCAGCTAGTTCATTTTTGTTTGCTGGAAGAACATGCAAGTAGCTTTGCATGACTGCTGTCTAGCCCCGGGATTCCAATCCCTGCGCTGGTCATTGGGATGACTGATGTCCTTCCACCCTTCCTGAGCAAGGTAAAATGACTTACAAATGCAGCAGCATGCACTTTGTTAAGAACAGTGGACTGTATGTTCCTGATTTCTCCCAGAAAGCATCTAAAAATAGCTTTTCCTAAATCTGTCTTCTTCCTAAAGGCCAGTCACTTGCAAAGAAGTGACACTATGTGTAACCCTTGCTGCAGAGGTTGGCCATAATGAAAATGGGTTTTTCAGTATATATCTGACTATAAAACCACAATAAAAAGAAGATAAACTTTTTTGTTTTTAAAATCTCCTCTACCTCCCAGTATGCTATCTGAAATTACAAGGTTAGGAAATGCTGAAAGTTACAAAACTTTCCCACAGGGTCCCCCAGGAACCACTCTCTGATGTTCTGCTGCACAGTGCTCACCCCACAATGCAGGCTTTGGTCCTTAGGGGGATGCTTTGGTCATCTCCATTTAAAAGGTTGCTGACCACAGTTGTAGCTTAACCATGTCACTTCTTCAAGGTGCACACAGTGAGACTGCCAAAAGTTAAGTTTCCTCCCTTTCTGAGTTAGCATCTGGAAAAACTGTTTAAAACCAGCTCTATTGTTAAATCATACCCCCAGCTGAAATACTTATCCTGGTGTAAGTGCAGACCAATGTTACAAAAGCATGTCTATTTTAGTGATATGCTTTATGAGAATCTGTCACAGATAAGGTATCCTGAGAATGTGGTGTCTTTTGCTTCTCCTTGAAACAATGTGGGTGAAACTGGTAATTTCTCATATCCACTTTATCATTTTACTCACCGAGTTACACATAAATAGAAGTCACATATTCCAGAAGGATCATGAGGTTAGTGAGGTAACAGTGATACTGCACTAAGAGCTTATGATGGAACTAGATGGACTTACAGTAAGTGCCACTCCCTATGGAAGGGAACTAAAGATAAAGGGTAATCTTAGTGCAAACATACGGGTATTTTAAACGATTGTCTTACTAGTAACTACATGAAGCATTCTTTCTTTAACTACTGATAAACTTAGTGACCTGGCTTCCTGTTGGTGGAAAGGAGGGAGAAGCAGTGGAATAACATAGCTGTTGCATGGGCTCTGTTCTTGGTGTAAAGAGCAGCACGGTGAGACAGCGGGCAAAGATGTCACACGTGGAAAAGCTGTGGGAAGATGGCTTGAAGTGGACTTCTAAATGGAGCTACAAAGGAATGGTTTAAACTTGTTTCATACTACGTATGGTCCAGGTAAGCGACCCCGAGGTAAGGAGCTACAGCAGCAAAGCCCTTCAGCAGTGGGCGGGGTCTGCCCAACACGGGGCACAGCACCACGTACAGCAGCTCCCTCCGCGAGGCTTGCTGCTGTGGGACCAGAAAAGGCAGGAGCGAAACGTGCCAACGCGACGAACTGTCGCTCGCTCGCTTGACATAGCAGACCGCTGCCCAGGGAGCCCTCAGCGCGGGCAGGGACCAGGCAGCGGCCGGGCAGCCCCCGT